TATCCCAGCATTTCACTGAAGGGACTGAGATAAACTAAGCACCTTCAGTCAGAATAGCTGGTCTCTGAGTAAAATCTGATACCACTCAAGTGGGTACTGTCCAGTCTTCATCCACTTTCATCCTACCCTGTTTTCTTTCATGTATATATGAGTAGTATTGAAAACTACATGCATACTAGGATGAGTTCATGCAAATACTTCTGTAGAATGCAATATCATCTTCATACTCTATTTCTTCAACATTCATTTAATATTATAACTTCTCAAATTTCCAAACCAAAATTGTGTATGCATTTCTCATTTCTCTCATATGTGATACATGTCCTGCCCATCCATAGTTCTTGACATGATCACCCCAATCATAAATGGTGAACAGTACAAATTACAAAGCTCAACTCTGTGTAATTTTCTCAATCTTCCTGTTCCTTCCTCTCTCTTAAGCTGAAACAGTCACCTCAAAACTTTTTCAAACATATTTCACAAAATGAGAGAAATCCTTAGGCAGCCCAAAGGAATGGCTCAGGCTCTTACCTTGTTGCACTTGTAACACACATAATAAGCATATCTGTCCATTGCATAACTGGCTGGATCATTATGAAATCTTGCACCAGGGCTTGTAATTGCTTCCACTTTGTGCAGCCCTTCATATTCAAGTCTCATCAAGGCCTTCCGCCGCACATCTTCATAAAGTTCCTTCACTGGCACTAGGAGCTCTGACAGAACTGGGTGTTCAATGTTACACTGGACACAGAAACATAATTATTCAGCATACTGTGTACATATCAAAGAGAGACATAATTATTCAGCATAGTGTGTACATATCAAACAACTTTTACTCAATGAATAAATGTCCATGTTAACAAAGCAAACATAAAAGAGCAGTCAACATTACCTTACAAATTGGGCACTGAGAAAATGCAAACGTTATCCTTGGGCCAGCCCACCTTTTCATTAGAACACAGCGGCAACAATGATAGTGAAACACATGACCACATTTTAACTGGAACATAAAATAAACAACTGCAACACATGGAATATATGCAAATGTCAACAGATCCTATATACTTGTCCTTCATATACTTGCAAGAAGAAGTGGAAGATTGTAAATCTTTAGAAAAAACATTAAAAAACTATTTTGTGGCTCAAGAGGAAATGACCATCCTGAGTAATTTTTCAGGTTTTACTTAAATATTCAAGAATTTCTCTGTGAAACAAACAACTCTATCACAATTTTCAAATGCTTATATGCCTATTTTTCCTAAATCCACACAAAATATAAACATGTGTTTTTGTTTAATTCATAAGTCCTTGACAGATATTCCAGGCACTACTTAAACCCATGAGTCCTGTAGAATGTGTTAGCTTTCTAATGGACCAGACAAGCATGAGACAAGTAATGCAAGAAACGAGTATCAGATCTGAATTTGACCGGCAAATTCACAATCAATCAAATATTCCAATTTTATAAGGAAAAATAGCTTATGTGTTCATTAATAATCTTTCAACAAACCAATGGATTATCCAGAAACCTTGTAAAAACATCATGTCACTAGAGCCATGTAATCTTATTACTTCTTAATTATCTGTTACTAATGATTCAACATGGAGACAAAGCAGAATTCTGAGGTTGGAGTAACACTAGAACCACGGCCATGCCATAGCTCACGCAGTTAGTCACTGACTTCCCACTGCAGTGGCCCGGGTTCGATCCCGGGTGTGGTCAAGTGGGATTTGTGGTGGACGAAGTGGCGCTGGGGCAGGTTTTCTCCGAGTACTTCGGTTTCCCCTGCCAATCTTCATTCCACCAGTTGCTCCACAATCACCCTCACCTATCATCTGGAACTGGTACAATAGGCCAGAAGTGGCCGTAGTACAAGGGACTTGGTCCCACCCCACTAGCAACAAAAATAAAACACTAGAACCACTTAATGTAAGATCCTGAAATTCTGAGTGGTAATGAATCTTTGAAAAATATGTACCATAACATAAGATACCATTTATTTACCGTATTTACGCATGTATAGGCCGCACATTTTTTGCCAAAAATTCAAGAGGAAAACTGGGGTGCGGCTTATATTCGAAATCACACTTCATTTAAAAAAATTATATTCATAATTAGTAATACAGGGTGTTCTACTCCTGAAATAATATTCCAAGAAAATTATTTTTTCTATAATTTCTGTCTGAAAATTGTGCTGCTGCCTATACATGCGTAAATACGGTAGTTAGCTGTCTGTAATAGTTTGTTTATATACGTACTATCAGCATCTTCTTGCATCGTTTGAGGACTGGGGTCGTGGGTTCAAATCCCGCGTACAGGAGGATTGTCAGGATACCTTCTGTGTTTATGTTGTCCTGAGCAATAGAGCCTTGCCGGTCACGGTAGCCGAGCGGTGTAAGTCATGCACTGTCTTCGCTAGCTCGGAAGCCTGGATCGTGGGTTCGAATCCTACTCAGGGCATGGATGTTTGTGTGCGTTTTTCTGTGTTTGTCTACAGGTAGAGGCCTTGCGACGAGCTGATCACTCGCCCAAGGAGTCCTACCGAATATTTAAGATCTAGTAAACCGAAGTGAAACGGAGAGTTTCATAGAGGTAGGCCGAGGCCCAAATTGGGGCTGTAGCGCCA